GCATTTTCTACTTATGCAAGTACGGTTAAGGGCACTAGAAACTTCTGATGATATGATAACAGCAATAGTAAAAATGTTTGTATTTATGCATGGCAAATGTACCAGGTCCTATATTTGGTGTGTTATAATACCTATATTAGTAATAAAACTCACAATTACCCTATGAGACAGGTAGTGTCATTGTTCTAATTTTATAAGTATAAATACTGGCTGGATTAGGCAAGCAGTTCACTGTCAAATGCATTTTGGTGGGCAGGGATTATGATCATATATTTCTTGTATGTGAGATTGGTATCTATTTGAAATCCTTGTCCTCCCCCTATCCTTTCCCTTATTAGATGGAGATGTCTCATGTATGTTTCTATATTTCTACCTAAGCTGGCTGTGAATCATGATCCTCAGATCTCAACCTCCTGAGTAGTTAGGATTACAGGTATCAGCCACTGGTAACCAGCTGAAGAACTATTTTTATTTGAGTTGTTTGCCTAAACTCCATGGGTGCCTCAGCTTTCTCATATTTGTAATGAAAATAACAGAAGAATTGTTGTGAAAATAACAATACCAAGTTAACATAATACTAAAGAGTTATTATATGTAGATCACTTCATCCAAGGCACATTGCAAACATTCATTCCATACTAAGTGACATCATAGGTACAGAAATGGGGATGGTGATGATGATGATATCATAAAAGGGACTCCTTGGAGTCCTTTGACTTATCTTTGACTCTGACTGATTGTAGCTAAAGAATCAATGGCTGAGTATGAGCTAGAACTATCCTTTGCCTGCCATCTTATTTCAATATACATGTGATTAGACCAAAATAAAAGAAAAAGCAATGATTCAAACCAAGGAGCATCAGTGGTACAACTGAAATCACAGCCAATATTCCAACTCTGCCCATGATATTATTCAGTGTATCCCTGCCTATGGATTAAAAAAAAAAAACACTAGTGTTTTGTTCCCACTGGCTTCAGGCAACTTTTAATTTCAAACCATTTCTGGAAGCTCACGTTTCTGGTTCCTAGTAAACTGCAATGTCATCTTCTAAGAGTGTTATAAACCTCTGAGCCCAGCTTCTGATGACTTTAGCCAACCCTCTATTTTTCTTCCTCTTCAATGCTTATTATTCTATTATTACAGGATGTCTGCAAAATAAAAATAAAAAGTCCAACTCCCACATAATATCATTCTTCAACCCTGCTTTCTTTCCCCTTTCTTTTCTCTTTTCCTAACATTAATTTCACAAACACTTATTGACAATCAGATATTGACAAGTCTTAATATGCTAGGTATTTTGTGAATTGCCAGGAATAAAATGAAACACTAATTAAATTTCCTAAATTTTTCTTTGGTCTTCCTCTTTATATCTATATCATTTCCATTATTAGCACTGATTTTTCTCTTTGATTTATGTGAATTACATTACTAAAACCCTTCAATATTTCAATGTAATATGAGCATAGTCTATTCACTCATTCAAACAACTGTCTTTTTCTTCCCCATTCATCAATCCTACTTAAACCGCAAGTTCATACATAATACTGTGTATGCTACCTTACAGATATTTTTGCATCCCAAATAGAATTCATTTATGTTGTTTATAATCCATAGGGTCAAAATTAGTAATGCCATTTAAAATTAGATTACAAGAGCTCCACAACGCTATTTTCTGTTTACCTTCTTTAAATCTGGACCTATATAGTCACAAAACTTTTATTTAACCACAAGTTTAATGCTGAAACAGAATCAAAGGTAAATTCTATATCACATAAAATCCACCAAAGTCCCACTTGTCTGTAGACCTGTGTTGCTTGCACTGAGATTTTAAGGGACAGCCCCATGTACTGTCATTGGCATTTCTAGGTTCTGATCCTGAAATCCTTGATACTGGGACTTCTAATGAGTTGTTACAAATTAATATCGATTCAGTCATCTTCCAAATAGAAGACCTATTTTAAGTTTATTTTAAAATTATAGGAATTAATCCTCAGTAAATAAGATTAAATAGTATCTTAAAAACTTGAAGCAAGTTATACAATACTGATAAGTTTGAAAAGAGGTAGCGAATGCGTAGACTTATTGCTTCACTCTGCTTCTGCTGCATTCCATCAAAGGACTGTAGTGATTAACTACATGGAGTGTTGCATATCTTTGAAGTGGTAACAACAGCAGGAAATTCAATTATGTTCATGAAAATGCAAAGAACTAAATACAGCACAACACAACACAAAGCCAAGCATCATGACACATTCTAAAGAATTCTATTCTATCAAACATGGAATAGACAAACATTCGGAGTCAGGCCATTGCTTAGAAAGTGCAGTGTTTCAATATATACAGCAACAGATATGATGGGATAGAATACAAATGTTTCAGCCAATGCTCCTATTTTATGCTTCACTGCAAAATGTTCTGTATTCTACAACGGAAAGATTTTGTTAAAAGATTTGGGGTAGAGATATCTACTGGAAGAATGAACATAGCTGTAAATGAAAAAAAATGATCTGGGTTTTTTTGGTCTAGAAAGTTTTCATATGTCCCTTTACATACTTCTTATTGACACAAATACAGATAAAATTGGCAACAGGCAGTGATATTTAGTTTAGATTATAGATCCATAATAGATAATGGGTCCTTAAATTTTTTTTATTGTAGAAATACTGTATAGAGGGATTGCACTTACATGAGTAAGGTAATGAGTACATTTCCTATGGAGGATTGTTACCTCCTCCTTTGTTTTCCCCCCCCCCCCCGACCATCCTTACCTTCCCCACCTTCTCTCCCCCCCACCCCAAGTTGTAAAGTTTGTTTCAACATAGTGTCTTGTACATCTCATTGTTACAATGGGTCAACCTGTATCCTTATTTCAGCATTTTGTTATTTCCCTTCCCCTCCCCAAATTAGAAAAATGTATATACAAGATGCAGGACACTTTCTTATTATTGTTTTAAGGTATTAAAATGTACTATGTGATTTTTTTTGGTTTCTTATGTTCTTCCCCCATGGTACAACTCCTGTTTTCGCTGTACTTGATGTCGGTGCCTTGCATCTTGCATATACATAAAATTCTTAAAGAAACGACAATGGGAGTCATAAAAGATCTTCTGAAATTCACTGAATGGGATAATTATTTTAAAAATCATCACAATATAGAGATATAAAACAGATAAGTTCTTTTAAAGGCCCAATTTTAAATAACACACCAGAGAAAAGGTCACATAATAATAAACTTATGCTTATTCCTAAATATGAAATGTGACAAAATAGCCATAAGACAAGTTATTACTTTACATTGTTTGCTGAAGACCTAATAAATAAATAAATAAAAACTATTTGCATTTGAGGAAATTGCATTGATTAGTGAATTTGATTCTTTTATCTTTTCAAGGAACTCCAATTCTATGTCTTCTGGGTTGCCACCCACTGGACATGATCATGCTTTATTAGGAATAATTATGATGAGCTCAAGATGCTGTGCTACAAAGAGATATACCACAAGGTGCTGTGGTACCAATGACATCCTTTCTCCTAGTTCATGGAGTGACTTTGAACAGGTCATTTTCAAGTGTCATCCCTCTGCCTCCCTCTTGGTCACCTCCAGGCAATGTCAGAAGAGGTGATCACTTAGATCTTTTCCTTCCCTGACATTCCATACAGGAATTTTATTGAATCTCAATTTAGACATATCAAAATTTGTTTTGGTACTTAAGATGGCTCTAAGTCCTCATATATGATAGGTAATCACTCTGCTCCTGAGTTTTTTTCCACCTGGTGTCCAGAGTCTCATTTTTAACACTTTAAATATGACTTTCCTAATTCCTAAAAGTCTTAATGAAGTTATTACTGAGTAATTAAATTTCATCAGTACAAGTTATTCTAATATAGAAATTAAGAATGAATTAGATAGCACACCAAATAATCAACGTGTACTATATAACAGCTTAAAACCTATGCTTGATTTCAGATGATCCAACAGTGAAAATAGCTCCTCAAGCCTTCATTATGTAAGTTTACTTTTTGAAATATGTATGAATATTTGCTCCCTTTATGTACCTACCAATCCTATTATTTCTAAAAGATAATGACTTTCATCCTAAATATTCAGAAGTATAACAGCATAGTTGATAGTATAAATCCATACTATTAAAACATTATTAAATTTCTTTGCTCATATATTATACATCCAAACATATTACAGAGATCATAGGCTGGTAGAAATATAATTTTATGATTACAGAAAGTATAGTTGTATGGCTAGTTTTTGTAAGATTGCCCTGGGTTTGGCTGCCTTAAAAATAACAACAAGTACCCTTTTCATTGAAATTTACTTCAATTATTCAAAACATACAAATAGAATCTATGCAGGAAATCTAGGAAATTTAATCTAAATTATATCCAATTCTCAAATCCAATTCTCGGATTGAAATATCTGAAAGTGAAATTAAATACTCCAGGTTGGAACTGATTTCTGAGATTTCATGTGTCTACAGTTTAAAGTGATACTTTGAAGATGAGCAGCAACTTGACATTGTGGTTCATACTGCCTTGAAATAATATTGAAGAATCCAATCTTCATCCATTCATATGGGACATAAAATAATCTTTGGAGAATTATTAAGAAAATGTCACTAGGACTCTACATTCTTCCTGCTTTCAAAAGAAGAGGAAGGAAGAGTTCCCAGACACCTCATAAGTGAGAAGATACATGCAATTCATATTATGCTGTGGGATAGGCAAACAGTTCTTACAGATCTATTAATAAGTAAGTGAAAGATTTAAAAAGAGGAACAGCTTGTTATCCTACGTTATGGAAGAAAACAGCAAAAACCTATATGGAGCCTATTTTAGGAATGACATTTGGCTAAAACTATTTTGACTCACAAGTTTTCTCCTTACTTAAAGCCTTTCCCACTTTCTGATTTCAGGGCTCAACTATGCTGACATTTCTCACCCTCTGCCTCTTCAAAGATCCCTCAAAGCATAAAGACAATCTTACCTAGACAAGGAAGAGCTGCACCACCAAGGCATAACCCGGTCCCAAAGTTTGGCTAGGAAAGAAGTCCATCCCGTGAGTTAGCTTCTCCAAAATGTAAGTTCACATTTCGTGGTTGAGATCGTGGCTCTATTCTAAGCAGTTGTACAGTGTGTGATCCTAACAAAAACACTCTCCGCAGCTGGAACAAGCCTCCTAGGCTCAAGCCGGATCCTGTCGAAGGCGTTCCTAGTGACTTCTGTCTACTAAATTCAGACTGATGTTTTGCAAAAGGGGCCTCCACAACCAGGCCTAGATTGCCTGGAAAGTATTTCCTGCCTCTGAGAAGTTTGCATGTGAGAAAAACTGCAAGAAGAGGCTGGGAGGGGGGAGAGAGAGCTGCCTGGAATAAGGAGCTCTGATTTTACACAGAACCAAAGTGAGTTTGTCAAAGCTCTTGAGGTGATTAGCTAGAGACTCATTAAGTCCTAGAGCTTTGCTTATGAAAAAAAAAGAGAGAGAGAGAAAAGAATATTGCTCTCCTGCCACCTTCTACTATATTAAATGTCTATAAAAGTATCTCTGCTAGCATTTATTTCCAAGCCTCCTTCCAAAACAGCAAGATGAACTGAGAAATTTAATACTGTAATCATTCTAAATTTTAAAACGAGGTGTTTTTTCCCCCTAACATAACTTAAAATTCAAAATGCTGGAGCCTTCTGTTCTGTGCCTGAGAAAAGTCTGAGTAAATTCCCTAGAATGCAGTAAATAGGATGTTTTCTTCAAGTTCCCTGTACTCCCCTCCTAGATTTCTTACCAGAATCAAAATAGCTTATACTACAGCACATACAGCTTTACCTCTAGTCAGAATCCTCCAGAGTTACACAAATCCAGGGTTGCAGAAGCAGAAGACAGACTCCATCTTGATCATATTAGAGTCCTGCTGACATTAAACACATTCAACCGGCCTCTGTCTAGCCTGACAGAGTCCCTGAATCACATCTTTAAAGCGGCTCACAGTATCTGTATCCTTCGTCGGACACACATTTTGTGAACTCTCCTCTGTTTATCTTTGCTGCTTTCTTGTGCCTCCACTGAGTAACTTCCTCCTAGCTGCTCCAGGCTGGGAACTTGGACTCCCATTTGGTTTTGATTAAAACCAGACAGCCAACTCTGGAGAATTTAGAGAATAAGCTAATGGAAACTGCAAGCATGGCTTTAATTAGTACATCAATTAATAATAGATGTTAGCTTGTCTTATAATGAGATGTCACAAATGCAAAGGCAGAAGAAGCCCAAGTGAATTCAGGAAAAGAACTCATTCCAATGCTTATTCCTTTATGATCCAGAATTTTCCTTAGGGAAAGTTGAGGGAAGGAAGAGTGGTGTGGCTTTGGGACATCTAGGTTGTGGCTGAAGCACTGGGAAAGCCTCATTGTTTACACCAGTGAAGCGGGAAACAGCAACTCTGAGTTTAATTATCTCAGTTTTGCTGAGACAGCTCAGTAATGTCTCCCTTCGATTATATTTCCAATCAGTGTATTTTATTGCTATTCATTTTGCCTCCCTGATGCATGATAAGATGAACCTAACTGGGGGGGGGGTCTATGAAAAAATTGCAAATTTACAGAACTTTTCAATAATTCTATGTGCAAGAATAATTCTACTTTCCATGTGATAAATGATAACATATGAAGAGGTATGAGAACTATTAAACTTGTTTTCCCTAACATCTGTCCTCTTTTCTGAAGTTGTAAGTTATTGTCATTGTTGTCAGCTTTAAGTTTTAGAACAAATGGGTAGATCCTTTGTGATCATGATGGTTATCATTTATATACTTTCAGAGAATGTAATAAGTGATAATTCAATAAAGTATGAGATCATAGCAAGTGGTTCTTTTAGCTAAAAATCTGTCAAAATTAACATGAAGCTTGATTTTAGAGATATGTCAAATTGCAAGAATAATTACTGTTACATATGAATTTGAATAAGGAAAGTATTCAAATGAAAACATGTTGGGAAGGCAGAGCAAAGGAATCATTAAGTTCAAAGCTAGTCCAGGCGACCTAACAAGATCTTGACTTCAAAACCAAAACCAACAAATAGCAAGTAAAACATAACAAGAAAACACAAAAAAATTCCCACAAAACCAAACGAACAAAATCCTAATTGGTTGAAACAATCTAAAAAATTTATGTGACAACTGTGCTAGCTTAAAAAGTGAGAATTGTTGGTAGATTAATTATTCCCATGGCATTATTCCCAGTAATTGTGTGTTCCTAGTAATTTTGTGTGTGTGTGTGTCCATGTGTGAGTGCATGTGTGTGCGTGTGCATGTGTGAGTGCATGTGTGTGCCAATATTGAGGCTTGAAATCAGGGTCAGGTCACTGTCCCTTAGTATTTTTGCTTAAGGAGGGTGCTCTACCACTTGAACCAAACCTTCACTTTTGGTTTTTTTTTTGCAAGTCAATTGAAGATGAGTCTCATAGACTTTCCTGCCTGCAGTGATTTGCATGCATTTTCATTTGTATTTTGCAGATAAAATGTTAGTTGTTAATTTTCTGTCAGGTGATGGAATATAGTCAACTCCAGTTCATCTATGTTTTCTGCTTTATTTGGCCTTCTGTAATCAGCCTCCCATAAGGTCTTTTCATTTTAATTTATTAATTTAATTCATTTAATTGCTGTGTGAAAATGGGAAGACTTCTTAAATTCTCCGAGTTTTAGGTTCATCCTTAAGAGTGGAGAAAATTGCACATCACTCAAAGTAGACAGAAGATTAATGTGTGCATACACTCATATTTATATTTATTTCTCTAAGGAAAATGCTGGAGCAAAATGAAATGAGAAATGATATAACTATCTTTCTACCATGCCCTGTGTATATATTTATTCCTGTCTCTCCCTCCAGTCCTGCTCCATTGGCTGCTCACTGCACTCAATAACTTCCACCCACTTCTACCAGCAGATAATTAGCTTTGTTTCTGTTGACATTGGCCCAAAGAAACAAGAAAAACTGTTCACATACATTTATAAAATATACTGGCAAGTTTTTCTTAAACTTTCTCTTCTCTAAACAAACAAACCAGTGTTCTTTTTAACTGGAAATATGACTTCCTAAATCTTTAATCATTCTCATTTCTTGTTTTCATCTTCAGTTGCCAGATCCCAACAAAGCTCAGAACTTATACACTCATCCAGGCCTTACCAAATATGTGTATAAAGATAAAAATGAGATGACATCCCAAATACTTAACCTTGTGTCAGGCACAGAGAAGGGGTTTAAGTTATTTGTCTTCTTCTTCCTCTGTTTGTAAATCTAAAACCTTCTCTTAAAAATGTTTGCCTAGGATGTTAGGCTAGATTAGCTAATAAAATACAGAATAGAAACAGTTAAAGAAAGGGTTCTAGGATAGGAGTCTGACTCCAAAACCAAACTGTGTCACTTTGTGAAAGTTACTTAACCTGTGTAAGATTTGAAGCTTAGCCTCTAACTAGACATTTTCCAAATTAAAGCAGTTGATCTATGGAAAGCCTTTATATCTTTTGGCAGGGTAGTATTTATTGGTAGATAGAACTATTATTGTGCCAGTACTAGAGCTTGAACTTAGAGCCTTAGACAATATTCCTGAGCTTTTTGGCTCAATGCAAGTGGTCTACCACTTGAGTTGTATTTCCACTTCTAAAGTTTTGCTGATTAATTGGCGATAAGAGTCTCATGGTCTTTCTTGCCTGAGCTTATGATTCTCAGATCTTAGCTTCCTGAGTAGCTAGGATTATAGGCGTGAGCCACTGGTACCTGGCAGTAGAAATATTTCTACTCTTTATTATCTTTATAATTTATATCTCTCCTTTGAATGACATGTTTAGAATTTGTCTATCTAGCTGTCGATGAAACAACAATTATGTTGATGTGCAATCATGTGTTGTTTTGGGAAGAAAAAGAATAGAGGAAGGATTTAAAGTTTAAGATAAATGTTCTTTTTTTTTTTTTAAATTTTATTTTATTTTATTTGAGAACATACAGTACAGAGGGGTTACAATTATATGGGCAGGATAATGCATACATTTCTTACCAAGCATTGCAGCCTCCTCCTTTGTTTACCCTTCACCTCCCTTCCCAGCCTCCCTCCTCCCCCCCACCCTATCATACCCCCCCCCACACCGACATTGTAAAGCTGGTTTTGACATGACATTTTGTACTTCTCATTGTTGCAACAGGTCCACCTGAATCCTTAAACGACTTGTTTGGCCCCGTCTCCTCCACATGTTATACTGACATCAAATATAGTGAAAGCGGGGGTTACACTGTGGGGGAGGGACATACAAAGCAACAAAGAAATAATCTTATAAATGCGTTAGAAACACATGCATGAAAGAAACAAAAACATTAAAATACATATTTGAGGGTTCGTTTTCCTAACATCACATTCTCTGACTTTTTCCGCTTGACTCATACCTATACTAGATATTGCAAATAAGGGAAACCATGGGACCTATGTTTCTTTGGGCCTGGCTTAATATAATTTTTTCCAAGCCTTTCCATTTCTTAACAAATGGGGAAATGTCATTCTTTCTGATGGAGGCATAGAATTCCATTGTGTATATATACCACATTTTCTTGATCCATTCATCTACTGAGGGGCATCTGGGTTGGTTCCATATCTTAGCTATGGTAAATAATGCTGCAATAAACATAGTTGTGCTGGTAGCTTTAGTGTGGTCTTTTTTGTAAACATTTGGGTAAATGCCCAAAAGTGGGATTGCTGGGTCATAGGGGAGTTCTATGTGAAGTCTTTTGAGGAACCTCCATACTGCTTTCCAAAGTGGTTGAACAAGTTTACATTCCCACCAACAATGAAGTAAGGTTCCTTTCTGTCCACATCCCCTCCAGCATCTGTTGTTGTTAGAGTTCTTGATTTTTGCTGTTCTAACTGGAGTGAGGTGATATCTCAATGTTGTTTTGATTTGCATTTCTTTTATGGCTAGGGATGTTGAACATTTCTTCATGTGTCTATTGGCCATCCTTCTTTCTTCTTCAGAGAAGCTTCTCTTTAAGTCTTTCGCCCACTTACTTATTGGGCAGTTGTTTCTTTGAGGATTTGT